CCCTCAAAAACGATGCTATAGAACATTGCACACCAGAACAACTAGACGGACAGTTTTTTCCCAAAAGCCATCAATCTGCTAAACAAATAATTTCCTCAACCCTGTTCAACTACTACAAAGTCTGTACAACTGTTAATCTTGTCATCACTTCTTATCACCCATCCCCTCCCACTTGTGACTGTATGACTGTAACTTTGTTGCTTGTATACTTACTATTTATATTGACTGTTTCCTTTTAACTTTTCTTTTATGTATACTGAGAGTATTTACATCAAGACAAATTTCTCATGTGTCCAATCACACCTGGCCAATAAAGTGTTCTATTCTATTCTATTCTATTCTATTCTATTCTATTCTATTCTATTCTATTCTATACAAATCATGGGGATAGGTGCATGTATTTGTATACTACATTTTTGGGGGGCATGTCCATCAAATTTTATAGATATTCCCTTCCAACATTTCCAACAACGTTGGAAGCGTAAAAGTAAAGAAAGGACTTTTTATCATCTGTAGTGGACATTTATTAAAGCAAAATAACTTTTGGAGTATGATGTATATTTTAATACTCAAAATTTTGAAAATGGAGATCAAAATGAAATCAGAACTTTTCCTTTTGGGTCTAATGGAAAAAAAAACCTGGAGAAAAAAATTGAATTTTTTTACTATATGTGTTGACAGCAGCAACATATATATAATGACTATTGTATGCACACACAAAAATGGAAGGACACTTCAATTCCTACCATGAACGAATGGTTGCAGAATTTGATGGAGTTGGTTGAAATGGCAAAACTGACCACTTTGATTAAAGAAAGGAGCATAAGTGCTTTTGTTTCCACATGAAGACAGCTTCTAAACTTCGTGCTTGAAGTGGAAAAGAATGAAACTTTGTTTTCGGGTTTTACTGAATAGATTGATAGATCCTTATAGAAATGGCTCGTTCATAGTCATAGCAAAAGGTTGAGATTTGATGCCTTATTTTACTGCAACAGTGAGAATCAGAAATCAATTCTTCTTTTTGTTTATTTTTCTTATCCTTCCTCACTTCTCTCCCCCTCTCTTCCTCCCCACTGTTTTCCTATTTACTTTTGTATTTTGTATCTTATAATATTTTCTAACTCAATAAAAATAAACCAAAAAAATAATATTCCCATCATGCTCTTTCATTATCATAATATAATGAAGTTCTTTGATACATTCTAGATCAGGGTTCTTCAAACTTGACACCTTTACAACTTGTAGACTTCAACTCGCAGAATTCCTCCTCCAGATATGCTAGCTCAGATATTCTGGGAGTTGAAGTCCACAAGTATTAAACTTGCCAAGTTTGAAGACCCTTGTTCTACACCTTTGCTGCTGAGAAGCACTGAAGATAATCTCTGCTGATAACATCTGAGTATTAAGCTACCATTACAGAGATCTTTGCCTGTATATGTCATTAATCAATTTAGCCCTCCCAACCACCTCCCATCTATAATTAGCTATGTTGTTTTTACTTCCATCATGTTGGTCAAAGGAGGCTTATCTCTTGTTGCTTTCTCCCGTGCCTGACCCAGCCTGGGTGCAAGAGCTGAATTGATTAATGACTATAAAGGCAAAGGTCTCTGTAATTGTAGCTTAATACTCCAACAATGTAAGAAGAGGCTGATGAAAGCTTACTAAGTAGATTAAATATAATTTTAAGTTCTGTGTTGCTTTTCATGTGACAACATTGTTCCCCGGTGTCTAAAGTGAGGAGGGGAAACATCATAATTCTCCAAACAGATTCTTCTGGTCCAGATGTTTCCTCAATATGTGAACAGCAGTTTAGATATTTAGAGAGTTTATCCTGAAGTTTTTCTTCTTCCAGGATGCTAAAAGACTGTATCCTATTCCAGTGTTTAACTGAAACCTGATTGCCTGGTGGAAAGAAAGGTGAACCTCGATCGATGAACTCATTTTCATAATTCTTCATTTTTTTAATTGGAAACCTAGAAAAAGATTCCTAAAGTTTTCATGGGAGAAGAATTAATCCTCGTTGACTAATCCAGGATCTGGACTGAATCAAGTTGCAGAGCTTCTCTGAATAAAGGAAGGTTCTTGTCTGGTTGCAGATTCACTTCTTCTTACTGTGTCTCTCACACAATAATAGATTGCTGTGTCTTCAGCTTTCAGATTGTTTATTTATAGATACAGAAGGCTTTTGGCATTATCTCTGGTTATACTGAAGCATCCTTTGACAGATTCTGCATCCTCTTGCTTACAGGGCATCGTACCAAATAACTGCAACCCATTCCAGTCCTTTTCCTGGAGCCTGTCTCATTACCCAATTCATGTCATAGCTTCCAAAGTTAAAACCAGAGCCTTTGCAGGAGAACAAGAGGGATTCTCCAGGTCTTTTCACATATACTCCAGATTGTTCCAGCTGAATGCTGCATTTAATATCTGGGAAACAATAAGGATTGTTACATTCATTTATTTTTAGACTGTATGTGAATGTATTTAATAGTTATAGTTTATAGTTAAAACAGTATAGTTAATATAGTTAAGTTAATTATAGGTATGCAGAGAAAAACAGACAGAAGAAAAATGAACCTCACATCTTAAGAGAGATGAACTCAAAATTCACTGCAGTAGAAGACTAATACCACTATTCAATTTTTTTGGCAGAAGCAATATCTTTGTTGTCTGGAGAATAGTCCAAATGATGTACCTTTTCCTGGACATTTTTCAGAGGAGATTTTTAAACAGGAAGCATTTTCTGAATTTGCATACTGACTAGAATAAAGAAGACAGCCCTTCTATATCTTGCTCTTTGCTCAGGGACTGGAGATATGGCTTCATCTATAACATTCAAAGGGAAGATCTGATGAAGGTCTATGGAGATTCTCATTCATCCAGGTCATGGTTGTTCCAAAGGTGCTTTTTTCAACAGGGAACTGGACTTTCTGTTGTTGTTTTTTAAAGATGTTTTGCTTTTCATCCAAGAAGCTTCTTCAGCTTTTCATCCAACAAGAGCCAAAGAAGTTTCTTGGATGAGAAGTGAAACATCTGGGTTTATTTATTTTTTTAAACCCAGAAAGTCTAATTGCCTCTTGAAAAAGCATCTTTGGGCTATCAGGTGAAGAAACAACTCAAAATGTCTTCAAGGTCCAAAACTGTTTTCAGATGGAGGATGAAGGTTTTTTTGTATCATAGTTTTGGAAAAATGCTCTCTATTCATCCTTCACTCAGCTGAAAACTGTCACCGCCCCTGGAAGTTGAGTCATTGGCACCTGGACTTCTTTTTGGATATTTGGATAAGTGGCAAAATGTTTCAAACAAACAAACAAACCAAAAAAAAAGAAAGAAAAGAAAAAAAGAATAGAAGCCTAGGTGCCTTGACTCAACATCCTGACAACTCTACCTAGATGACTGAGTATTTTCCTTAAGGTATCTCCTGAAGCTAATTTCTGAAATTGGTTTTCCCTGGCACTTCTGTTTCTTTTTGTTCTCAGTTATTCTCTGTTGCCAGATTTGTTTCTCCAAAGTAGCACATGGCCAAGCCTGAGTGAACATCCCTTTTCCTTTGGAAAAAAATTGAAATAAAGAAGGAAATTCTGTTTTTACCCCAGTTTTGCTGAGGAAACTTATATCCATCTCATTCATAGAAATGGGGTGAGATGAAACCAGGCAAGGAGAACAGATAGAGCAAAAAACAAAAATAAAAAAGGGGGAAGTTTTGACAGGGACTATTTGTCCCATGTGGGATGCAAATAGGGAAAGACCCTGAATAGACAAACATATCAGAGCTTCAAAGTGTATTCCATTTTTCCATATTCCATTTTGTTCTCACTTTGGAAGAATTGCATCTTTGTGTACACTGGACATCCTCTGACAATTTCTTATGGCTTCATTAAACCAGAAGCTCTAATAAAAATATATATAGTCCTTAGAATAGAGCATCATTTTATCTATATACAAAGAAGGATTCAGCAATACCACTTAGACTTATATACCGCTTCACAGTGCTTTACAGCACTCTCTAAGCAGTTCTTAGAGTCAGCATATTGCTCCCAACAATCTGGCTCCTCATTTTATTGACCTTAGAAGGATGGAAGGGTGAGTCAGCCATGAGCCAGTTTGGATCTTGGGAATTTTGAAGTTTGAGCAGAGTTAGCCTGCAATACTTCATTCCAACCACTGCAACACCATGGCTCTTCAATCTAACAGTCATTCCCTCCATTGAGATTATAGGTTTCTTTGCAAAAAAATGAGATTATGGGCAAGTTTTATGAGAGTCAAGAATGGCATGTTTCATTATAAGCATATGCAACAATAGAAATGATTACTTTTGAATAAATGTATGTCTTACTTTGCAATGTAGACATTCCGGGACTGGTTTTACCTGGTCACATATCCAAACCTACAAGATGAGACTTTTTTTTTTCATTTTTTTCCCACTTAAATCTCCCTGTTAAGCAAGGTGATTGAGAGATTCCAATTGTTCTCACTCCCAATTGTTACTGGGAGGTAGGCCAAGCCAGAACACCTATTTTATATGGTATGAAGTTGTAGCAAAAGCTATCAAGGCAGGAAGACAGTCGAAAACATTCATTCTCATGGAATTTCTGGAAGGGGAGATTTGCAATAACCAGTGTTTCCCTCCCTTGACTCAGCCAGAGCTTCGAGATTAAGGGGATTGAATCAACTTAATTTATATAGAAGAAACGAAAAAAGAACAACATATACAATGGAGATAGATTCCGGAGAATTGTCAATACTGAGAATCAGAAAGAACTGAAATGCAAAATATATCAAGGATGAATTGTGGAATATCAATCTGTATTTGTGCCTTGAAATACATTTCAAGTTTTTAAAAAGTACCCAGTTTCATTTATTGACCATAGATTTTTTTTTTTTCTTCCTACCAAACTGCTAACCAGGTTTCACACTACTTAGGCCAGGGTCGGTGCTGAGCTTCCAAAGGAGATTTATTGGCTGTTCCTGGTACAGAAATTCAACTTTCTGTCATAAACTCATAAATTAGTACAGCTTCTTTGATGAGAAGGTTCTTGTTTAGCATAAGATTCACTTCCTCTCACTGTGTCTCTTGCACAGTAATAAACTGCCATGTCTTCCACTTTAAGATTGTTCATTTGCAAATGCAGCTGGCTGCGGGAATCATCCCTGGAGATGGTGAAACGTCCTTTGACTTTGTCTGAATAGCTAATCGGAGATGAGGATGTTCCGATCCTTGCTACCCATTCCAGTCCTTTCCCTGGTGCTTGTCTCACCCAGTACATGTAATAGCTGCTGAAGGTGAACCCAGAGGTTTGGCAGGAGAGACGGAGGGACTCCCCAGGTCTTCTCACATCCCCTCCAGACTCCACCAACTGGACTTGAGACTTGGCACCTGAAAAGAAAGATGTATCAGTAACCTGTTCTGAATACAAGAATTAAAATGGAAGGAAGCTGAATAGGGAAGAAACAATTACCATGGAGGAATGCCAGTAAGGACACCAAGTTTAGCCACAGAAGCATTTTTGCTCTGTGCAATAATGGTGGGGAGTTGATCATAAAGGATTCCTTTTGTTTTGATGGGTGTAACTTGAAAAGGAAAACTCACTGGCTCTTTTAAGGAGGAAATTGTGACTTGATTTACATAATGGTTGTGATAAAAGAACTCACCAGGGAATTCATCTTATAGTTTTCTTGCAGACTGCCTACAATGTGATAACTCTTCAGTTTTAGGAAAAGTGAAAGCAACCTTTAAGTTAGAGTAATAAAAGCAAGGAAAAGGTGATTTAAGGAAACAAATGATGAACCAGCACTAAGAACATTTGAAAGAGGTGTTGAAAGGCTGGAAAATGCCTTTCTTCTAAGGATTCGGTTTTCCTGCTGGGAGTGCTCCAGTACAAGGACACAGACAGAGACAACTGCTTGGAAGCGGGTTCCTTTAATTTTTAGGAAGGCAAGAGATAGCAAGAAGTCTGCGTTCCTGGGGCTAGCCATCTTTGTATAATAAACCCCTGATTTTTATACCTTTTCTCCTTTTGTGTGTGAGTGCTTGTGTTTGTATTTCTTAATGTTTTAAATCCTGTCAGGGGGTTGTCTTCATTTCCGCCAGAGGGTAAACTCTGCGGGGTGGTTTGATTGGATTATCAGTTTCATCCTAATGTTTTCTTATATTTGTTTGGTGGCAATCTCCTGTCTGCTATGGAATTTATTTCGTATCTTTTGTCTATTTGTTTTGCTGATTTGGCATGACCTTTTGTTTGTAAAGGATTTCTTTTTCTTGTTTCCCTAGTTTCTTAATTACTTGGCTTTTGTCTAGGGGGCTTCTTTCAATACCTTTTATTAAATCTCTTTTCCTATGCAAGTTTGTTTTATAGCTGGCCTGATGTTCCCTTTGGGCTTTTCCTGCTTGGGTGTCACCACTGTCCTCATGAAGTTCCCTTTCCACAATCCTTCATTTTTTTTTTTTTAAGAGTGTGGTCTCTGATTGAATGTCTGGGTATACTTGGTATTTGTGATCAATCTGAATCATTATCATAGCTGCCTGTCTCCCCCTTTAGTTTTCTCTTCTGAGAGGGGATACAAGCCTTTAGGCAGCTAAGGCAGGGTGGTATGCATCGGCAGGGGCAACACACGAGGGCTCCAAAGACACAAATGGTGACTGTGGTTGTTATAAGGATTTTGAGCCAATGGAAATCTGGCATCCATGAGAAGAGCCATGAAAAGTCCAGGAATGATAGCTCTTTCAGGTGGTGGATGTCCCTCCCTACGAGTTCTGAGGTTTCGTCCAGATTGAGGCAACACATCCCTTGGAATTTTCCACAGCCATAGTTATGCTTCAAGAGAAGGAAGCCTATTGCTGCCCAATTCTCCAAGGTGGCTTCTCTGACCTCCCTCAGTTCTCTGTTAAGGGCATCCAGGGCATGGGAGGTCAAATTCAAGCTTTTTTGCCAGGGTACATGCTAGTCTATTCAAATTTTTAGAATTTCACACTGCCAATCCAGATACTCCTACCAAGGATATTGCCAATGAGATGTATTCTGTTTTTGTGGGAAGGGAGACTTTGGAAGGCTCACAGTCTGAGTCTAGGGTTTGGAAGGCTCTCCTGTGTCATCTCTGTAAGGATGGCATAAGCATGGTTAACCTTCCCAAGGTGCAGGGGCCATTTGTGGCATTTGCAGGAAGGTATGAGTAGGCTTTTAAGCCACAAAGGAAAAACCATCCTGGTGGGAGCTTCAGGTAACTATATGAAAATGATATGGTCTCTGTATAGTTGCATTTTAGTTCTGTGTTGCTAAGACTGGTGCATTCTGTGACCCTAGGTGTGCTGCACCCAGTGACATTATGATTTCCCTCCTGCTAAGCAAACGTTAGTGGTGTTGAGTATTTCTCTTGCTAAACATTCCCATATGTTTTCCTTTCTCTGGGATAAGCTTTGGTTCCAGGAACGCAGTTTCTTGTGTTACAAAGGTTACAATTATTACAGATAATAATAATAATACATAGAATATATTGCATTTCATTTTCCCCATTGCTTGATTCCTTTTCTTCCCTTCCTCCCCCCTCCTCTTTTTTTTTTTAATAGCAATGTAAAAAAATGCAAAAGGTCAAGTATCAAAAAATTATGAGTAAGGTATGGTTAAAGTCCTTTTTGTTAAAAAAAAATATGATGAAAAAAGGTTTTAAAAAAAAGGAAAAAATGGAGAAGGTGAGACAAAAATTAAAAAAAAAATAGTTTATAACTCAGCACCTGAGAGTCCAGTTTTGTGTAATGCAACCTTTGCACTTGGTTCCTCACAGTGGTGTGGTTCAACAGTGTTGAAGAATGCTGCAAGTGTCCATTGATCTGTGTCCCGATCTTTCTTGAGTTTGATGGGTGGGATTGATTGTGGTGGAGTTTGGCTATGGTCTATGACTGCTGGCTTTGCATGTGTCCAATGTATCCAAAAGTCTCATTCTGCAAACCTTTATGGCGATGTGTGTAGTCAGTAAAACTTGGTAGGGTCCTTTCCACCTGGGTTGTAGAGGGGAGGTTCTGGTGAAGAACTTGATCCACACCCAATCTCCTGGCTCATATGGATGCAGGGCTTCTTCCAGGGGTAAGGTCTGTGTCAGCGCACTCTGGGTCCAGAGGGTCTGTAGTCTCTTTTGCAGGGCTGTAAGATAAGAAGAGAGAACCCTATCCCCCCCCATCTAAGCAAAGGGAATGAGGATCTAGGCTGAGAATCAGGATCCTAGTAGAGTATGGGGGGGGGGTGACCAAAAAGGATCTCAAAGAGGGGGGAAATACCTATATCTTGTCTTGGTCTGGTTCTGAAATAAAAGAGGGCAATTGGGAGCACTTGTGGCCAGGAGAGGTGTGTCTCCTTTAAGTAGTCCCACTTCTGATGTATCCCAGCCCCATAAGGAGGGTGGCAGGCTTTTTAAATCTTCATGAAGTCCTGTGTTGCTGGTTATCAGCATGATTGTCTTGTGTGTGCCTTTTCCTGGGATTTCCAATTGCAGCCCCTGTTTTCCACATGTTATGGTAGCTCCCATTTTACATAGGAGATCCCTTCCTAGTAGAGACAGTGGGGACTGGGGGCAAATAGTAAATGCATGGTCTACTGTGAAAGGTCCTAGTTCTACTGGTACATTGTGGGTAAATTCTACAGGGATTATTCCTCCCCCTCCCATTATGCTATCCCGAGCCCCTTCAGCCACTGAAGCTTTATATGGTGGTTCAGTAATGAGGAGGTGGCTCCAGTATCAACTAAGCAATTGTATTTCTTTCCTCCTATAAGAATGGTTACGATGGGTTCCCCTTCTGGGCCATTTTTTTAGGGGGATAGCCAGCCTGTTAAAGGTAGCCATGAATTCAGTGCTTTCATTGTCATGTTCTAGTCAAGAAGGGGGTAAATCTTGTTCTCTCCTTTGCTCCCATTGATGTCTATTGTTATTATTTTTTGGAGGTAAGGGAGCACTGGCTGGTGCCTGATGACTGAAACTTTGTTGCTCAGTGTAATGGGCTGGATTATTGGCTGGCCTCATGTTCCTAGGTGGTGGGTGATACCGGTTGCAGGGGGGGCTGTTGCCTACATTGCTTGCTGAAATGACCTTCCTGTCTGCACCTATAACAATACTGACATTTGCCTTGCGACCATCCTGCTTTATCGCAATGCTAGCATTTCTTTGAATTATAGGGGGTTTTACCTGGTGTTTGTCTGGCATCATGTTTCATTACAGCAAACATTTTTAAGTCTTCCTGTCTTTCTATTCATCTCTTTCTATCTTTCTCTTCCTCTTTCAATTTGTCTCTTTGATCATAGACAAAGTTAGAAATCCTGCGTAACTCTGCTATGTCTAAGGTTGGCCAGTTAGAGGTGAAGCGGTGGAAATGTTCTTTAATATCTAAGGTGGACTGATCCACGAAGGCTGAAGCTAAAATCCTTTGGTCCTTCAGGCAGCTAAGGTCTAGGTGGGCATATGCAGTAGCTGCTTCTGACAGGCGGACCCAAAAGGCATCAGGGTTTTCCTTTTCCCTTTGTGTTGTTTCTTTTGAAATTCAGACTAGTTTAAAAGTTTTTTTTTTTTCTTATTTCCTCTAGAGCTTCTAGTAAATTATCTTTTGCTCTAGTGTATTTGTCCCATTGATTGGTATCATTATAATCCCAGTCAGGGCAATGTATTGGCCATGCGATGTGGGCTGGGGCTGCCTGACCAGGGATAGTTGGTGGTTTGGCTATTTGGACTGTTTTTGTTTTTTTTTTCCAAACAGTTTTAATAGTTTGTCTTTCGTTAGAAAGACTTGTAACAGCTGAGTCATGTCACCCCAGGATGGATTATAGCTGTCTATGATAGATTTCAGGGTTTTAATAACTGTTTGAGGATCAGCCCTGAAAGCTGGGGTATCCTTTTTCCAGATGACTAGGTCAGAGTCAGAGAAGGGAGTGTGGGTAAAAGCATATTCTAGTTGTCCCCTATTTCTGCCTGGCAAGGGCTTGCTTAAAGGGGGAGCCATAATCCGTGCCTCAGTATTCTCTTCCCTGAAATGGGTTTCAGGCTTTTCGTTCTTTCTTTTTTTATTTTTCTCAGTCAGGTCTTTGGTCCTAACAATTTCAGCCCAGCAGTACCAATAGGGTATTTGGCTGGTCTTAATGCATGTTCTAAGTGCTTTCAGGGTTTTATAATCTAAAGTACCACTATCAGGCCAAATTTGTCTACCCATGTCATCTCGCAATAAAGCCCACTTTTTGCTAGCCCTCTTTTTGCAAATTCTTTTCACTTCCTTTCTATTCATTCCAGTTAGGACAGGCACTTGCCTTTCGTCCCAAGCCTCAAGTAATTTATCCAAGGGGGTCTCTTCCATTGCCCTTGAGCTACAACTTCCCATATTCCCTACCTGATGTGGGGATTACTTTGGTTTAGCCGGGCTCCCGCCATCAGTTTTCAGACAAAAAAGGTCTGGAAAGGACTCCGGTTTCCCTACACACGGAGTACGGGCCCCTTTCTCGTAGGGAAACTCCGCCGTCAGTTTTAAGACCCCCCCTAAAAATGGGGATCTTGGAGGACCGTCTGCCCCCTAGCAGCACGGTACGG